TTTCGATAATCCAAACATTCTTAAAATTTGTTATTGTTTCAGATTGTTTGTACATTTCGTTCGTCATTTGACTTAGAAAATTAGTGCTTTCTGCTCACATTTCTTATTTCCATGACTGTTGAAGATTAAGTTAACTTTTTTTCTGTTGTTTCTTGTTTTTAATTAAATTAAACTGGTGTGATCAGGATGGTGTTGACTGCGTTTTATTAACCGTAAGACTTTATACAATCGATAACGTCATACGCCAGTATCGAGAATTTGTTCAATATAAATTTCAATGTTGTAGTAAGTTACTTCATTTTATCTACGTTTTTGCATTGGCGAACCATATTGTTAATTATTGCTTATTGGAATAGTTAGTAAGATGCTAGACATAATAACTAATTAAGAATTATTTCAAAACTTATACCGTTACACATTTACGTTATATATAACAGATTAATATAATCTGGTAGGCATAGTAAACCGAACTTTATTCCATTACTCGTCATTTCATGAGGAGTGCATTAAACACAGTAAATTAACCTTGATTCATTCCGAGTTAAAGATAATGAAAACAATTAATAGGAGCGCTACGGTCGTCATTATTGAATTAGGGATTTTATTGTGTCATTTTAATTCAATTTACAACCGACTAACTGACTGAACTGAAATCCATCCCAATATCTGACATTTTATGGTGTTTGTGAGTTGAATTAATGGATAGTCACGAAATTCGGCCAAACTTGACGGAGTGTAATCAGCTTATAGACTGTCGAATGAACTTTGAAACTTGTACTACATAGCGACCATTCACTTTTTAAACCAGGAAGAGAGTGATAGAGCGATTTGAGGAAGTGAGATTTATTAGCCAAGAAATCATGGTCTCATTTGAAATTTTTACTGAGATCCATTAGTCTGTTACTCTAGATTTCAATGCCATGTTCACTTCCAACTTCGTAAACATTCAGTTCTATTTGATAGTGTTTTGCATCAACTGGTCGATCACACATCAACCAGTGTATTCATAATTAGAAAACACTGTGAATCCGGTTCAATACCATCTCACTTCTCAACTTGATTATAATTACCAGTCATTTCATCTTGATTGTGATGATTGGCATTTGACCCGATTATTTGAGAAGTGATCATCATAATGCCATTTGATGAGTTGTTTTGTTCGATTTAACAATGTGTATAGATGCGAGTGTTATGTTGTGACTGATTTCAGACTACTCATCATATAGTTAATTACGATAATTTAATGGTATTGATGGCTGTGATGACGTATTTAGTGTATGATGGAATGAAGTGAGAAGTGGTTATCACTTTGCTTGTACAATTCTTTCTAGACACTTTTTCATTTTGAGTGTTTCGCAGTGCTCTGAATTGATACATGATATGGATTGTTGTATGTAACTTATGTATTCATTTATCTGTCTTATTGATCTGTTAACTTCCAACGTTATTTCCACTGATCCTTCTCTATCCTTTCTTATATACTATGTATTTGTAAAATGCTTCTATTTAGTTGAATAAAAAATTCTAAATACCTGTTTTGAAGTATTGTTTCATTTGTTCACATGTATAGAAATCTTCGGATAGAATATCGTAATTTGAAAGGTATTGTTATATCCGCATTACATATCTCGAAAGCCAAAAATGAATGGATTGCCGGAGAACTCGAATTTCAATATTACTGATTGTGTGTTTCATTAATTAAGTTACCCGACTTCTACAGTAATGGTAAACAGAATTCAAGTGTTAAAGGAATGAATGGACATCAGACTGAAGCAGAGTAAGACCATTCAGGAGTAGCATTGGAATTATAAGAACACTGGAACTAGAATGTCTACCAATTGTATTAGAATTGAAATGTTTCGGAATTGTAGTAAAATGAGATAAAAACCAGCATTGGATTAGACAGGTCTAATAGGAATTGTGTCCAAAAATTCCGATTACTCACCGTGTTTCGAATCTTAATAGGTTAGAGGAATAAGAGAACAAGATTAATAGGTAGATAAATAAACAAACAAAGGTGTACTATATATATATATATATATATATATTTATATGTATTAGTCGCACAACTTGGCACAAGTTAGCCAATAGAACCAAACTAATTTATTTGACAGTCGCATGCTTGGTCAGATCGTGTATTCCAGAATAAATAGGCAACTGTGTCAACTTGATATGTCCATATTGACTTCCACTTTAATTCAAATGTTTCGTTCATTGAAGTATGGGGAAATTTGAAACCGTATATACAGATTGCGAATAATTATGCGAGAATGTTATTTCGAAGCAGTAGTCAGTTTGGTGATACTTGTTTCGATGCTATGCTTTCAGTGCGTGACACTCGTCAACCTTGAGCACATTGATAATATGCAAATTTTGAAAGACTTTTATTTGTCCACTTCTCGTGTATTCTGTATTCGTTTTGTATCTCCTAAATTACATGTATAATTGTTATTCTTCGGTTCGTCATACCTTCTAACTTGGTGACAATTTAAAAACGGATTTCAATATTCTCAACTCTAAGTTCGTTGCTTCTTTGTACTGGTGTGATTTATTTATCTGTCTTTACGTACATATTAGTTGGAAACACCTTCAGAATACTTTCGTGAACTATAAATGTTAATTAGAAAATCTCTACCAAATCCCTTTAATACACGACACTTGACAGTAGCATTTAGAAAATAATTAGCTTGTTATTCTCCATTCACTATTTGTTTCATAAACTTATTATGATCACCTGATTGTGGAATTAAAAATAAACACGATATCGAAAGGTTAGGTAGCTTCGCCGCTTGTAGTGAACAATGCAAGATGTATTTGCTAGTCGTTAGAGTGATTAAGCCAAATTTATTGCAAGATTAAATGGTTGTGAAATAGACTGGAGGCTTCACTATCGGTGCATGAAGCTTCCTAGATTTGTGTGACTAAATATGTTCTACAATCAAATACTGCGATTCGCAACAATCAGGATGACACGAAACAGAATTCTATATGTTATACTTGGTTTGGAAAGTAGATTTACAACGTACTTACTTACGCCTGTTACTCCTCGTGAAGGAGCATAGGCCGCTCACCAGCATTCTCCATCCAACCCTGTCCTGGGCAATCCTTTCAAGCACTTTCCAGTTCTTATTCATCTTTTTCATATCTGCTTCTATTTCCCGACGTAATTTGTTCTTTGGCCTTCCTCTTTTCCGCTTCCCTTCAGGATTCCAAGTTAGCGCTTGTCTCGTAATGCAGTTTGATGATTTCCTCAATGTATGTCCTATCCATTTCCATCGTCTTTTCCTAATTTCCTCTTCAGCTGGAAGCTGGTTGGTTCTCTCCCACAAAAGGCTGTTGCTGATGGTATCCGGCCAATGGATGTTGAGTATCATGCGTAGACAGCTATTAATAAATACCTGTACCTTCTTGATGGTGGTTGTTGTAGTTCTCCAAGTTTCAGCTCCGTACAGTAGAACTGCCTTGACGTTCGTATTGAAGATTCTGACTTTGATATTGGTTGAAAGTTGTTTTGAGTTCCATATGTTATACTTGGTTTGAAAAGTAGATTTACAACGTGTAAGCTTGCAAAATGTTGGTAGGTTAATTAAACATAAAGGTTTTAGAATTTTGCACGCATTCAACATTCCGTAGTTAACTAATGTCAGTCAGTCAGTCAGTAACAACGTGGAACTTCGTACGTACGTACATCAGTTCGAGTTGCCACACCACATTAGCACAGAGATTCAGTTATCGATTCAAATCCCACAGTGGTAGAGGTAGTGATAGGGAACATTAGGGTTTGATGATGTTATTTATGAAGTATAGTCCAGAGGAATAGATTTGGAATGAAGGTAAAGGACATGAAGAATACAGAAGATTAGAGTTTGAGAGAACACAGACAGTGGATGCACCTGCGCCATTGCAAACGATTTTGAGCCATGTCATTCAAGGTCTCTAACCATCGGTTGCTATCATCTCGCGGTCCCCAACCAGGAAGTCTACACCTACCAACATGGCTCAGTTCACTTGTCAGTGACTTCATGGATTTGTGCCATGTTTTGGTCTGGCCACCTCTAGCTTTCTTTCAACCTACTCCTACACCAGAAAACATCGCACGTCGTGGCAGTCGGTGGTCAGGCATGCGCAACACATGTCCCAGCCATCTCAACTGATTAAGTTTCACTACTTCATCAATTGATTTGCCATCCTTACCTAGTACCCGTTTCCTAACAACTGAGTTACTTACTCGGTGGTCCCAGGATATACGAGCAATGTTTCGAAGACACCTATGATCAAATACTAGTAACCTACGAATATCCTCTACTCTTACTGACCATGTTTCACTGCCATAAAGTAGGACGGAACGAACTGCTGCTCAGTAAACACGTCCTTTGGCTGGTAGACGGATATCTCGCCTACGCCACAAATGACGCAAAGGAAATTCTGTTAGTTTGTAGTTTACATTTTCCTCATTGGTTGACTGATAAATAAGTCATACCATCTTGGTAAGACTTCTTGAATATGACAGATTTGCAGCCGTAATAATATCCTGACCCAATCGATTTGTGATTGGTTCTTCTGAAAATGTATTTATTAAGCAATTAACAGATTTGTAACTTCAGTGAGCTATTATAAAATATGGAAACAGTACTATAATCTTTCTGTCGCTGAAGAATATGCAAACTATTTAGTCACTTTTAAATTTGCAGAGATTTGAATACATAAGGAAATTAATTACAACCACTGGTGCTCTCAAGTGGTTTGTCCTTTAAACATGAACAAGTGATTTGAGTTGATTGGTTGAAGTTAGACGTGCGCTGATGGACTCCATTTTGATCATCTAAATGTAACATGCTTTGTGAGAGACTTACAAGTTTTCAACTCAACATCGTATGATGTGCACATTTTGAGATATTTAAGACTAAGAAGAAACAGTTGACAAACGCTACTGAGATATCAACCGTTCTCTAAATCATTCTAACTTAGGATCAAATGTGACTGATTTTTGACGGATTGTATGATAATAGGAAAGACAATATTTTGTATTGACGTTTATGGACAAAAGTTCAAAACATCATTCAATAATAATTCATTGAAAAAAACGTATTGTCTAAGTTTGATGAGTACAAACGAATGTCTACAAAATTCATATACTAAAAATGTAAAGTATATTAAATAAGATACAACTTAATCAGGACAAACAAAATAATAAATTTATGTAGGTGAAAAAGGATAAAACAATTACTAATATATCACACCACGATTTTTTAAACTTTGTGTATTATGTAATACGTGAATTTATGTGCATTATCTTCATATAATTAATTATCTTTTTTAGGATTCAACAAACGTGCTCTAGCAAAATCTCGAGCTAATCTAGCATCTCGTACAGTAACTGGTATATCAGATATTAAAAAGTGTATACATAAAGCAATGAATATAAGACAATGTTCAAATATTAGAAATATAGTGCTTGCTGTCACATCAGTTAACATTTCTAATCGATGAATTTCTGATATTAATAAACCAGCATTAGTTAATACAGATAACCAAGCTTGTATACCTAATAGCAATAACCATATAGATTGTTCTCTAAGTAACAAATTCGATTTAGGACATTGTGTTACCCAAAATAATTTGAATACATCAAAATGTATTTCAAGAAATGTACATAATATAGCTAAGATTGTAATAAATAATGGTGATGTATAAGCAAATAATACAAGATAACCATGTTGTAAAACCATTTCTAAATAATCATCAAATGATTCGTAAATATCTGCGCATAATTCACGTTCAACACGTATTTCATACACAGGTTTTTCACTATTATGGTTACGTTTAATTAAACCAATTGATTGTTTTTCTTTCCATGCACGAAATCGATAAATTATGTATGGTATAATACATTCAAGTGTTAAGCGTCTTATTGAATCAGTAGCAAACATTGTTAATAAAAGTGAACGTAATGCCAAACGATCAGCTAATATAAAGCCTAAATAAATTAAACCACCATATGCATCAACCAATTCAAATAAGAAACGTTTTATTATCAATGCACGTTCATAATCCTTATTTGTCTGAAAAAAAGGAACAAAAAAACGTAAACAGATTAATAAATAAATAATAAATTTGTAATATCCCAATGAGTAGAAAAATTAGATTTTCTGATGTTTCGTGAGTTAGTGTAAGCCACTTCTTCAGAGAACAAATAACCGAATTAAAATTAATCCAAATTTAAATAGTACAACGGAACCAATTTATTCGAAATTATCAAATCAAACCTTAGTAATGATACCTGTAAACAGATTAATATAATATTACTTATATTAAAATAATTACTACATATTGAACATTTAATTTATAATTTCTATGGTAAATATAAATAAATTTAATTTTTACTGTGCAAACTATTAATCAATAGTAACATATTGTTTGGTTGATATTATTTCGAAAATTAACGATTGAAAATAATAACTTTTTCTAGTTATAAAGTCTGATAGGCAGAAGTTTCACTTACGATCTAAGATGGGGAATAAGACAAATTTCACTCGGTTAGAAAAAGTAATCTCATTACTTAAGGTATGAAACAAGAAATAAACTATTGGAGAATACCCATTTGTTTTTCTGTTGAGCAATGTTCAGAAAATTTGTAAGCATATCAGCTGTAAGATCCTAAAAATCACATCAAATGGGGCCTAGTTAATCAACAGATGTCAATCGAACATTACAATTTTATTGTAAGTTGAAATGTTGTAAACTGACCTTTTCCACTTTTCGCAGTCGATCGAAGTCTCCAAACAATGTACAATTTAAAGGACTTGTGTTAAACACAAATAGTTCACCAAAGATTAAGTATCAAGATTGTAACGCATAGAGAATTATCAATTGCTGTGTACTAATACACGTCCCCAGAACTCATCCTCATCTGGAATACAGCTACCAAAAACAACACCTAACAAGGCATACGAATCTCTAGACTAGTTGCAACGCCTTACTACAAAGGGCGAGTAATAAACAGGAGCCAATCTTGCAGAAGTGATTTGCATTCTTATTATGCAAACCACATATTATACATCCAGCTCATCGCCAATTTTAAAAATGAGAGTGACAACCGCTTTCTAGAAGGGTGAAAAAATACTGACTTTATCAGATCTCACCAAACAGTTCAGTAACTTGCCAAATCAGGGAATTTCTAGTCTTTGATTAGAACTGGAATTTGGTTTCCTGGATAACGAAACTCTGTAGAAAATTCTATTGGATAACCGCTTCTTTAGGCTCATCATTAATCACCTGTGAATAAGAACCAAATAATCTAACGTTAGTGGAGCCGTGAAATGTTCCTTAAAGTTCTCCATCTAATGTTAGAGACATTTTTGAAAATTCCTTATAACTATGCCACCAACCCTATACATCGTTCAACCGACAATACGGTTCTGGTTACTAGTGATACTTTTCAAAGGCTACTAAATCAACTAACTCCTTCAAATAGGGAGTCTGTTGCGTCCGCCAAGCTTCACTGATTTTTATACTCACAATTAAACGGAGTAGGTTGAAGGGTCCCGAAACGTTATACAGACCGTATATAACATGATATGGCATCTTGTGTGTATAACTAATACCCATCTGCGCTTGTCAACGAATTGATCATCAGTCCAGAGGGCTCGTAGACACCATTAAGTTTGAAATGGTGACTCATTATGTTGGAGTACTTCAATCTTGACCATTAAATTGAAATCAAATTAACTAATTGAATCAACATGCAGATTTGTTTATTTCCATAGAGTTATATAAGACTTAAAATTTTAGACATAAAAAACGTATCACTATTTAATCTGTAAACCTCATGATATTTATTCTATAAAAATGAAAATAACTGACACAATGATTTTCCCATTCAGTTAAATGTTCAGCAATAGCACGAAAAACCATTTGATTCATAACAAAAACCATTAAAGAGTGTAAAATCCCAGGAATATACGATAATATTCCATTGGCGTTCGGATCAAATATTGCATCAGGTTCAGCGAACTGACTTACGAATCCTATATGAAACCATGGCGACTTTTCTGCTACGATAAAACCCTGTGAGAAAAGCAGTGAGAGGAAGATAATATTAACAACAGCTAAGAGAGAAGCGAATGAAACATGGATGTATGATAGTGTAGAAAAATGTCAATGAGTTCAACATCATATAGGGTGTATTAAAATGTTTATCTTTTACTATAGAAATAAAGCTAATGCAATTAAACTAACTAAATTCAGTGTCAAAGTATGCCAATTTATGGCATCGGACACAGCTAGGCAATACAATAACAAAAAATCTAAGTGATAATATAGAAGTGAGAAGGTAAAGTGAGCTATAATCCGACACTTTTGTTATCTTTAAGAAACTAGTCAACTATGTTTTATTTAACCGTAATTAGCTATCTTATTTTATCAAAAGTTTTAACCTGTGCAAACAAAGGTTTCGAATAGTATACTAATACTGTGTCGAAAGTATCGGTCATTTTTATTTGTTTTAGATTCACAATCATGATAACAGAACAGCCCTATTATATGGAAGTAACTCTACCACTGAAGGCGACAAAACCCACATACCAAGTATGGGTTGTATAATTTTTTAGGGCTAGTGGCAACAATAGGATTTTCAAAGCTAAGTAGGTGGAGTAAGTTTCAAATCTCAGATTTATTGTGTTGAAATCTAAATGCTTTAAACATTAAATCATCATTGAACCCTTGAGATCTTAGCTATCCATACGAATAAGTTTAAGGAAAGCAGTACATGTAGACCTTCCCATTGGGAAAGCACCTGGACCTGACAGCGCACCACCTGAAGCACTGAAGTCATATATGGAAGTAACTACAAAGATGTTCCATTCAGGGAGATTTGGGGAAAAAGAACAAGTCTCGAGAGATTGGAGAGAAGGACACCTTATCAGGATACCAGAGAAAGGATATCTAAGCAGCTGTGATAAGTACAGAGGCATCACACAACTATCGATACCAGGAAAAGTATTCAACAAAGTGTTGCTGAACCGGACGACATATTCAGTCGACGCCCAACTTCGAGATCAACTGAACGAGTTCCGAAAGGACCGCTCATGCACAGATCAAATTGCAACACCACGGGTCATTATTGAACACTCAACTGAATGGAAATCGTCACTATAAATCAACTTCCTTGACTATGGGACAGCATGCGAAAGTGTGGATCGAAGAAAATTATGGAAACTTCTTCGACACTATGGCGTACCTGAGATCTTCAACATCATCCAGAATTTAAAGACGGTCTACACTGAGAAGTTGTGTATGGAGGACAGCTGACAGACGCATTCCCAGTGAGGACCGGAGTCAGAAAAGGCTGTCTACTCTCTCCCTATCTCTTCCTTCTGGTGGTAAATTGGACTATGAAGACCTCCACATCTCAAGGGGGAAGTACGGAATACAATGTAACGCTTGGATTTGACTTGACAATTTAAACTTTAGAGATGACCTATTGCTTTTATACCATACACACGAACAAATGCAGATGAAGACAGTCAGTGTAGCAGCAGTCTCTGCATCAGTAGGCCTCAACATACACAGCGGAAAAAGCACGATACTGAAATACAACACAGAGAGAATCAACACAATCGCACTTGATAGAGAAGCTCTATACGAGGTGGAAAGTCTCACACATTCAGGCGGCATCATCGATAAACAAGGAGGATCAGATGCGGACATAAAGGCGAGGATTGGCAAAGCAAGGACAGCATTCCTACAATTGAAGAACCTATGTAACTCATAACAACTGTCAACCAATATCAAAGTCACAATCTTCAATTATTATTTATTATTTTATTATTTTAACACATAAGTATAGGTACAGGGAGGCACCAAAATACATATGCGCCACACAAAGCTCAATTAATTTGTGTGAAGGCTGTGATACTGCTCGGGTGCCCAAACCGAAGCAGGTGGTTGTCTTAGGGGGCCACACCCCGAGCCTTTGACCTGAACGTCTGACCCACAAGGCAGTGGAGCATCGTGAGGAGATGCAGTCCCATGGTAGCCGGTGACCAACGAATGGTTCATACGCCATTTGTTCCCGCAGGATACTGGAGCCCATGTGCACCATTGATTTGGAGTCCGGTTAGAGCGCCAGACATTCGCTTTTCGTCCTCTCATTTTTGTAAACAACACCCCCGCCACGAGAAGGCATTGAGTAGGACTTCCCTGGCAGGGGCTATATACGCATGGCCATGTGAGAGCATTTCGAGAGGGAGAGCGGACTCTCCCCACTCTCGGCCGTACCAGGGCATTTGGAGGGCAGTTCTACTGTACGGAGCTGAAACTCGAAGAACTACCACAATCATCATCAAGAAGGTGCAAGTATTTATAAATAGTCATCTACGAAAGATACTAAACATCCATCGGCCGGATACCATCAGCAACAGCCAACTATGGGAGAGAACAAACCAGCTTCCAACTGAATAGGAAATTAGGAAAAGACGATAGAGGTGTATAGGATATATATTAAGGTAATCACCAAACTGCACCACGAGGCAAGCCCTAACTTGGAATCCTGAAGGGAAGCGGAAAAGAGGAAGGCCAAGGAACAAATTACGTCGGGAAATAGAATCAGATGTGAAAAGGATGAATAACAACTGGAAAGAGCTGGAAAATATTGCCCAGGACAGGGTTGAATGGAGAATGCTGGTGAGCGGACTATGCTCCTTCACGAGGAGTAACAGGCGTAAGTAGGTTCCCATATCGAACTGAAGAGAATATCACAAAGAAACTGTACTGATTTGGATATATTATGACATCTGACAGGTAGGTGAGTGAACTATGTACTACTCAAAAGTATATGAACTTGATGTGGTTGATGCAGTTGCGAGTCCCTTATACGACTTTCTGACTATTGCAAATAGTCACGTGAAATGAAGCTTTTACTGCTGGATCGAAACGTTCCTACTACGGAACACCAGCTATCCCTGTAAAATAGCTTCGCTGGATAGTAACTGAGGTTCTATTCATCAGTCGATCGGGATATAATAACGAGTGGTAGTGTCAGCAGTAATTTCGGATGGCTTGTACTAACACATGGAATCGGTGTAACACCCTGAGTTCGATAGACAATGCTATTGGGCAGCCCGTGCATCTCCACGACGAGTAGTAGGAGTAAGTAAGTCAGTTTAAGGAACAATTATTTCTACTAATTTGTATCTATGTCGAAACTAGTGCACACCCAGTCTTGTTTTTAAACCTATTCTACATTTTAATTAGTTATTAAAAGTATTCTGCGACATACCATAAATATTCCGCCAATATTGTGAATATATATAGCAAACTAATGCTCTAGATATGTTCATAGATTACGATTGACCTAAATAAATTGAAAAATTCTTGCATATTTAAAAGTAGGTTCTTATCAAAGAATGATATTTTCAAAATTAAACATTGAAAATTGTGGATAATTAAAAAGAGGTTCAGTCTTATTCTTGGCATCTAAAACAATAAACATACATGATCCGATTTGAAAATGCAATCACTGTGAATTTAATTTTCTGTTACTGATATTCTAGGGTTTGAATTAGTGTAAAGTAAATTTTAACAAAACTCATAATTTGACATACTCTCTAATGTTATGCAATGTTATTATTATTTTTTTTTCGTAGAACACTAAATTAGTTAAATGAACCATAATTTTTGGTATTAGGAATTATCATAACTGTTTTAGATAGATGACTAAAAAATAAATTTAATGAATAGTTAAGTAACGTGAATATCTGTTTGTTCTTTCATTTCAATTTGCTTACTATTGATTTGTGATGGTATTTTGAACATTTTCACTTCTATTCAGTGTGTAATATTTACTGTTTGTGTTATTATACAATACTAAAGAAGGTTTTAAGATGTAAGTATTATTCACATAAAATTTTATGCATATGATATCACTATCAAAATATAGTTGGAATTAGTATGAGTGTAGTAAAACTAACAAAATATAATAAATACTATATTATATATTAAAAGTTTAGAATTATTTCTCGACTATTACAGTGGTCTAGTGGTTGAGCGCTCACGCGCGAGACTGATAGGTCCTGGGGCGTGGTCGTGGATGAGCACTGCTGAGGGGTCTCACAATGGGACGAAACGGTTATCCAGTGTTTCCAGGATTATATAGTGGTCTAGCTTCGATTGACTCATGATCCCAACTATTGAAATTACTACAATCTCTATAAAACCCCTTCTGATACTAATCAATATATGCTCACTAGTAACTAGCTTCAAGATGTATATCTTGGAGTTCTAGTAGGAAGCTGTGACTAGTGTAGTTCAACCGGGTTAGTTGTGAGATGGTACCTTACTGATGACAATGGTGGATGTGTCGCTCAATTTCGTGGATCAGTTGAAGTTAGAAATTAACACTGTTGGATGCCGGCTTAGTGATCTAGTGATTAAACGCTCGCGCGCGAGACTGATAGGTCCTGGGTTCGAATCTTGAGAGGTGGAGTCGTGGATACGCACTGCTAAGGAGTCTCACAATAGAACAAAATGGCCGTCCAGTGTTTTCAGGTTTTCCATAGTGGTCTAGCTTCAATTGACTCACGATCTCAACTATTGAAATTATTACATAAGCAATTATCATATAATTTACATAAATAAAAAGGTAATCAAATCTAATAATAACTGAAATGAATGATATATTAGATGAATATAATAAACATCAATTATTCATTAAGAAACAATATTCTCTTGATATGATGATGGAAGTAATGAAAAACCAAAATATATTGTACATTTTAATACAGACAAAATTAAGACGGCTAAAGGATGTTTTAGAGCACAATTAAGTTCATTGTCTGGTCAATATCTTTTCTGACATCAAATGTGAGTTAAAGTACGATAAAGGTCACAAGAATTTACAGTGATTACGTTAAAAAACAATATAAAACGATGGTATATTTGATTGTCTAAACTATATAATATCCTAGGTTTATTTAGTAAAAGTTCTCGGGGTAGGAAAATGTTACTATAACCAGTTTGTGTTCAGTAATATGCAATAGCCTTTACTGCTGATTGATATATATATATATATATATATATATATATATATATATATATATATATATATATATATATATATATATCAATTTACAATGTTGTTCAACTTTCCTGTATACTTCGACTCTGAATCTGACAGAAAACATCAGTTTTCCGAAGAATGGAAACACACCTTTCTAATGAATGTTAACACAAAACATGTATTCACGCACACCTCAACATTGTTACCAACTACTAAATACTCAATTTTATTTATTATTTGTCAAATAATTTATGTTAATATCTTATTCTCTCAGTTTGAGCTTTTCAATTTTGAAACAATCCACCGCTATATGAGATTATTTGTTTCAGTCAACTGATCAAAAGACTTTATATAAGTAGATACAAGCTTACGAAATATTTGATCATAAACAGTGGGGATAATTTTAGCAATTGCTGAAAAAGCAGTAAAGTTATTGGTACAATAAAATGTTGAGATAATTGCCGAACTGGTGAATGTAATGCTGAGATAACCGGACATATAAACTTTGATCAAATAAAACATCACGTTTTAAAATGATGAAGTTATCTTAATAAAACAAAACAAAATATAAAAGACGCAAATAAAATAGTATGACTGCGAATTACTTATTAGATTAAGAATAGATAGTGAATAATGAAAACAATCGTCACTCAAAAGTCGATTCAAACTATACAACAATCATATATTTCAATAAGTTAGTCAGTTAGCGAGGAGTCACAAATAGTTTTAGTCTTTTTACCTAATACCTTGCATCCCTTTCTTCAGCAATACTCATTTGATTGTTCTTCCATGTGTCAGCAGTTTCGAAAACACCTATAATCAAATACTACTAACCCATTTATCTCCTCTACATTGGAAAATGTTTCACAGCTATAAAATAAAACACACGGAAACGCTGGGTAAACTACTTTCCTTTTAATAGGTAGAGGGTTCTTTCGCATGTGATTATGAAACTACGCTAAACTGAGCAGTTTGATCATACTGTGATACTGACTGTGTGACTACTAAAAATAGTGCCTAAAAGCTTATCCGGGAAATAGAACCGTTTCATTGTGCATTAAAACAAATAAATCTTTTAAACAGATCAACTTAAAAAATATTACTTTATAGAATTACGAAGATATACGGTATTTTTGTTAACTTTAAAGATGAATGTTGAATACTTCAAAAGAAGATTGACTGGACGAGAAGAATTGAGAATTAATTCACTTCACCGAAAACATTCGGAGATTCTAAATCTCAAGAAATGAAAAGACGCTTATCCAATGAATTCTATTAGAAAGTTTGAACAGGCTACGACTCTTTAGTTGACCGTCGACTATATAATTTGTGAAATATACTAATAATATATTCGTGTCTAACACTAAAATCTTAGAGACGAATCAAGATATTTATTATGGATGTGGTAGTGAAAGTATGATTAGTTGGTGAGCATGGACAAACAGGCACTTGGTTTACTGACTATTAAATATGTGATTTCCTGTTATTGATTTCTACTCAGGACTCACTAAGTTTGACTGCTTGTAACTGTGTTGAGTAGATTATTATCTAGTACTTATCTGGTTTTCTATTCTGGTCTGTGAATCCTGGACCTAATAAAACGTGACTAGTCTCATAATCGTATAACGTATTATCATAGTATACCTAAGAGAGAAAATATTTTAAACTATTCGTTATTTTAATTATATGTATAGGTTTGTATTTTATTCTTGTTGATATTGACTACAATTGATTAATTTTGTATTAGGGTATGTAAATCCTGAAAGGATTGTGTCTTGGGTTCGATTGATAGCAAACATTCAGCTACACTAAATCTATTATATTAAAAAAGAAACTATAATGACACTGTATAGGTTATTATTGAAATCTAGGCAGCATATCCCATCCCAATTTTCATTCGTTAAATGTATCTAAATTACAATGTGCCGAATTGCTCCCACTAGAACTATTGACCAGTGGTTATTGTTTCAAATGCCAGAATAGTTCCAAATTAAAAATTTGAGCTTTCTTTTTTTAAAACTTAATTTTCATAAACTATATGACCTTCAATGACTTAACGTTAAGTATATAAATGAAAGTTGTAATTCGCTGATAATACGTCTATTCACTTGAATAAAGCTTTCGTCTTCTGGAATATATTTATCTAGGATGTGGGCAACGGTTTGGTGAGCGAATTAAAGATTCACCAGTTAGGTTTACCATGATTGTACCTCTATAACAAGTAGATAACCCTATTAAAGCATTCTGAGTAACGATAAGATGACTTACTTCCATATTCAACAGGGCAATATTTACAAATATAGCCCATAACAAACATGCTAATGTAATGAAACCGGATGCCGCATAACGTACTCGACGTTTAGCTGCGGGATAGTGCAATTCCATCAAGCCAGTAACGCGACTTTGTCTCCAGGTGCCGTGAAAAGTCGGTCTCTGATCAATAAAGTTAAACAGCCACGCTAAATCATTTGCTGCTAATTCAATTAAGGCATTGCCAGACCATCGATCGACACAAGAAATATACTCACGTTGCCACAGTTTAGTACAAATAACAGCCCATAATATCATGAAAATAGTATAGACTAAATGTATTCCTAGTGATACTTGCTTATCTTCAAAATGTTGACCATTTAGTAAATTGAACACTTGACAAAATAAACCAGCGATTAACGGACAAGTTAAATAAACACAATAAGACTTCATCCAAACAAAATAAAATCCAATTGAATCACCAAAATACTGGCGTAATTTCTCAGAATTCGGAAATACATTTAAAGTGGAGAAATGATCGGTCCATATAGATCGTCTTTCCATTTTATCATGACTTCTAGTTAAATTAGATATTAGTCCCAAATACTCTAAGATGAATAAAGCTGAACGATTTGATAAAATATACTCATCAATATCATTAATCAGATTTAAGGGCAAACCCAAATCATATACAAGACTTTCAAGGTGTGCCTTAGACAAAACTAAACTACGAATAGCGAGTTCGGCAAGCCAAGCTGTTTGCCCACCGGTTAACTTTTGAACACAATTATTGAGTTCTACAAGGTATAAATAAAAAAAGACAAAAAGGAAAGTAACCAAAACGGTTTAATAAAAAAATTAGGGTATTTTCGGAAATTATTTAAGAAGTTAGTAGTAGTCGTAAAAGCTTTGATAATAATAAAATAAACACGTATTTTTGTTTTGATTATCTTTACAGGTGCACAAATTTATAAAACTATCTGGAAGCCAAGATCAAAATATTATGGTTGACATACTGATACTTTCACGTACGGATTCAGATTAAATTTCTCCTAACTTGAATGGTAAATGGGAATGGACAAACTGGAAACTTAAGACTACAAATAATTAGGATTTAGGTGTTTAAGACAGTAAGCCTTTTCTGTGTAAATATTCGGTGACACTATAGTTAGTTTTTTAAAAATGAACCAGGAAAATCAACCCGAGGCACCGACCCCAAGAAATGAGATTAGTTAATGAAATCAGCAACTGTTAGTCTGAACTGTCCCGGAAAATGTTGACACCTTGTGAGAAGTTTGGCTAATCTGTGAGACAATTCTTGAGTCCAGTATTATTTCATATGTTCATGATTTCAATTATAGGTTTCACTCTTAAATTCAATCATACCTTTAAAGTAAATTTTCCGTATTTAGTTTTCTACTACAGACGGCAACACTGTTTCAACATTATTCATTTCCTCTTAGTGCGTTTATACAAAATGTGAGAACTTCGACTGATAAAAATATGCACCAGGTTTTGTCTTGTTTATTAATGAATGATTGGAACATATTAAGCACATTTTACCACTCATAATAAACCCCTTTACAAATGAATTAGAAGTTCGATAAGTGATTTTTGAAACATCAAAGCTTTTGATAAACCTTACCTCTGAAAACCTGTACAATACCTCAACAACATGACTAAAATCTACAGAACTATTAAACCAATCGTCTACATCTAAACGTATGCACAACGGTTTCACGTTTGAAGAGATATTAAACAATTGTTCTAGGGGTTACAGAATACGTATAAGGACAGAATAAGAAATTAATCAACTAGCAAACTGAGTAACCTTATTGATAATTCCTGAAAATAATGGTTAATATATTAGCTGTATAATATGAACTGAAGAGTGTGAAACATTCACATTTTGATGGAACTGCACACTAAAAACTCACCTACAAAGTAGAATCACGCACATATATACATCGGTTCAAGTTGCCATACTTCATTAGCTAAACAAGATGAACACCAAATTCACAAAAGTAGTTGATTCAGTGGTAGTAATACATAAAAAAGATTGTGCATAAGGATATAATACAGGAAGAAAGAATTAGTTCGTAGAAAAAGAAGTATAAAGTGATTTTTATCTCAAAGTTTAAGGGAAGACAAAGAGTGTATACACTTACGCCACTGTGATCGACTCTAAGCCATTTGACCCAGAGTCTCTAATCGCTGGTTATGATAGTCGCGTGAACCCCAACCAAGTAGTCTGCATCTACCAACATGACTCAGACCAGAACTTAGTGACTTCAAGCACTGATGCCACGTTTTGGTTTGGCCACCCTTAACTTTCTTCCAACCGTCTCCAACACTAGCCAGCATTGCGCGCCGTAGTAATCGGTGGTCGGGCATACGTAACACGTGACCCAACCATCTCAATCGATGAAGATTTACCTCATCAACTGATATACCGTTATTCCCTAATATCCTGCATCTAACCTCACTATTACTTACCCGGTGGTCCCAGCAGATGCTGGCAATATTTCTAAGACATCTGTGATCAAATACTAGTAACTTACGAGCATCTTCTAACTTTAATGAACGCCTTTTGCAGCTGTAAAGTAGAACAGAAAGAACCGTTCTTTAATTGATAGACGAATGTCTCGCCTTAACCATAGGTGACGTAAGTTGGCGAAAGCCAAACGAGTTTTTTAAATCTGTGCAGAGATTTCTTCAGACACCAACCCATTAGGGCTGATCAGACTTCCAAGATAAGTGAAGTTGTCGATGCGTTTGACTACGTCACTTCCTATCCTATTAAAATCTAAGCCACTGCAATAAAGAAATTGCTACATACCGTAGGAATCTATAGATCCACAGATGACTAGTTAAAGACCTGGAAATTATCTCTTAAGTGTGTCGATCATATATTCAGAAGCCTTAACCAATACAAGTATAGTGAAAGTTATTTGTTGAAGGGTGATAGAAGTTAGGAATATACTTGGTAGCAACCTAAAATTCATTGACTGCTGATTTCAGTCTTATGAAACGAACCATTAACTACCCGATTGAAACTGAGAAAGATAAAGGAAATTGAAATTTGGAGTCATTGATTGATACTTCTGTAAATTAGCTGCAATGATACGAATAATTCCTTTGTTCACTCATGAGTTTGAGGTAGATCATCATCATATATTTAATCAATCTAATCACAACAAGATTTGTAGAATGAAATAAATGGATTTAACTTCATTAATTCTTTATCAACTATGTATTTGATGCCTCTTTCTACCAATATTTATGTGTTCAAATAAATAAATAAATTATCGGCTTTACCTCAACCAAGATAAGTGATTTGATTATCAATAAATGTAAAGTTTTGAGATGCTTACATAATACATTAAATTACATGTTTAATATTTACAAAGATCTATTTCATCCTTTGTGTGGCTTAAAACGGTATATTAGACAAAATTTGGCAAAACAGCTCTGAAAAAGTACAAAATTTTAGAACATTTATCTATGGATTTATTTCTTTACTGAATGACATCTAATGATAACTAACCTTGTTTATCGATTGATAAATCCGGTCTTAGTAATGATGCACATTGTTTAAGCCACAACTTTGGTATATATATCAGAACAAAGTGTGTAGAATGACCACAATTATTAAAATCAGTTGGTGTTTCATCAATTGTACAACAAGATGTAAATACTGGCTGGTCATCACATTCAATGATAATCTGTCTGTCAGTAGGAATAAAAGTTGACATTAGACGGTTTTCCATAATGGAAGTTTTAAGACATTCAGCTAGCCTATGAGCAACACGTATTTGGTAGATATTATCGGAATATTTTGGATGTTTTAACGACTTTGGGACTGTAAGACAGAACCTAACACCAGTAGTAGACATGGTTTACTTTTTGCTTGTCAGCAACAGCAAAATGTTATCTGTTTCAATGAAAGTGAAATATTTTTTAACGCATTAACCGGTGAACAATGGAAATAAATATTTAATACAAAGAATAGGAGGACAATACTTAAACTTAAGGAGAGCAAGTGGAATAAAAAAAACAAGATTTTCTAATTATCTAGAAGGATATGTTACTTTACGAATTGGAAAAAGCGAATAGTTATCGTTACTATTATGAGGCTCTAATTGCGTGTAAATACGTACTCTAAATAGTTATTTCGAGTAACTCTATTGCTAAGAAGCACAAGCATTAAGGCTAAGTTTTTAATACCGAAAGTTTAGCATGATTGCACACTTTAGATAGTTGATCATGACTAATATATGGATTACTGAAAAACGTTACCCCACTAGGGTGTATGTTTATTTAAAGTCCACATATCACTACAAGCATGAGTTGATTAGAGCCTTTATAGATAAAGTACGCATAATTTTAAACTACTTACAAATCAGAGGGATAAAAGACACAGATCTATGATATAATTACACAATTTTTGACAAACACAGGAGTTTACCAAGTAAACTAAGAGCGTCAATAATAATCACTGAAACAAATGTTCTTCTAAAAACCTATAGACGTCTCAAACTAATTCTGTCAAATGGAAACTAAATACATTGCAAAATTATTTGAGAAAGACATGTAATTACACCGTCTAGCTAGCAGCCTTCATTATCATTTTGTAATTTTCAGGACCCCTAATATCAGTCAGTCAAATGGAAAGTATGACCTGGTAAGTATCCACATCACTTCAAGTTTCCATACAATATTAGTGTTAATATAAAAGAAAATGATTCCTAACGCAGATCATTACGTTCGTTTCCCTAATATAATAGGTCTGGTACCTACAGCTACTGTATTCGGCAATAACTCTTCAGAGATTATATGACAGATTACAGAACCAAACGTTTTAGAGATAAGTGAAGATATAGTTCTAAAATTTATGGAAGCCCCAAAGCAATAACACTGTACTTAGACTTTAAAACCAGACCACGCTTCGATGCGTCTTATCATTGTCACCTTAAATGGTTTAGTCGCTACTGTTTTTTAAAGGATAAATTTATCAACCATACTAAAACATCCACTATGCATCAGATGATCATAATGCACAACCTGAGGAAAATGTGAGAATATGCTATAAATATACATGTTTTGACCGAGCCTTACAATGAAAAAACCCAAACTCTGGCATATAAACGTTAATTTCCTGAAGTCATAACACGATTCTTAAGCATATAACACTGAGTACATACAAACACTGAAATCCAAGTATTTAAGAAAAACTAAGAACTTGGGAAAAAATGTTTATTAGACAACTTTACACAAAATAAAGCATACAAATCACAAAATACGGTGTGTACAAAGAAGGAAATATACCCTGTCTTATGGACAATAATGTTTAGAAATTAAGTGAACATAAAGCAGAAGTGGAGAACAAATTATCGTGCAAGCTCGTAAGCAACCATCATTTTGCAGCTTGTAATACATGCACTGGAAGAAACTTGGAGAATCCAGTCGTGTCAATAAATTGAAGGTTTTCGGAACGAAAATACAAAATTTCAGGCACGCATTGTGTAGATCGTATCATACAGTTACGTAGTTTATTAAGATATTCCTTATATCTTCTGATGTGGCACAGTCAACGTACGTTGAGCCATCTGGAGCTATTCCTAGCTTTGCACCCTGAGAAATAAACTTATTAAGCCAATAAGGAGTTACATTGTTGAGCAGCAAAGATACGCAATCTATATGGCCCTCATATATGGCTGCAAGCAAAGGTGTAACTCCAAAACTGTCATTAACCTACAAACCTTGAATCAGTGAAAAAATAACAGGAGCATACATTTATGTCTGCACCATTTCGTATGAGGTAATCACAAATTTCTTTCTGTCCATAGTCAGCAGCATAGTGAATCAGAGTTCTTCCATTTTTAAAAGTAGAATTAACACCAGGCAACTAAGTAATGACTAAATAACTGTAAACACGTACATTATTCATGTTTTCTTTTATTGATTGTAAGTCACCATTTTTAACAGCCCAGAGCAACTGTTCAGAAGGCATATCGACACAACCAGCTGACTTTGAGGTCACAGGTTAACTGACCGCTTTATAGAGAATAAAAAATGATGCTAAACAAAATCAAACTGAAGTAGTTAAAGTCAGTCGTCAATTAGTAGCGTTTGTGCTTATTCAAAAGAAAAAAGCTTTACTTTTGGTCAAATATTACTTGTCAGAAAGGGCGAGCGCCTAACCAATAGACCACTGAGCTGGCATCCACTGGTGTTAATGTCTAACTTCAACTGATCCACGAAATCGCGCCACCAGCAATATTGTCTTTAGTGAGCTGATATCCCACGACAGACCTAGTTGAACTCCACTGATCACGGCTTCTCACTAGAACTCCAGAAGTGTCTCTTGAAGTCAGTCACTAGTGAACAGATGATTATTATCAGAAGGGGTTTTGTGTATATTTCGAGTAATTTCACCTGTTGAAATCATGAGACAATTGAAGCTAGACCATCATGGAAAACCCGAAAGCATTGGACGGCCGTTTCGTCTTAGTATGGGACTCTTCAACAGTGCTTCAATTGACTCATGATTTCACCTATTGAAATATTACTTGATTTGTAATTAGTTTTGTAGTTCAGTTATTCGCCTACAAAATAGAAGATATTGTTGAATGAGATGTCGTTTCTGATAGGAATGGACATCTATTCATATAGAAGTGTAGTGACCTACTTTTGTCAACAGAACGCGACTAGTTCAATGAAAACAATTATTATTATAACCAATTGTACCAGTGATTGTTTTACTGTGCTCGTTTGCTTAACTGTACTAATGACAGTCATTGCTCTCACTCTCCCGTTGACTTTGAACTTGTACGGATTCGGTTACGTTTAGTACTTACTCTTGTACTCCTTTAGCACGACCTCGGTATTCTTTCGATACCACGAGATCGCCAGCAAATACATCTCGACTACAGCCATCGCCTGCCTTCTGATATTTGGTCTACGGGGATTCTCATTGGTTAAATGTCACGTAGTTTTCTTGTAGCGGTGTTCATAGTCAAGCGCGACTCGATACCAAGCTACATAAGCATGACTTAGCAGATATAAAACAGGAATATAAAACGGAATTTTAGTTCTCTAGGAGGAGTTTTCAAGCTGGATCTTTACAAAAACCTGTAGCGGTTCTAATCATTCAAATGGTTGCAGATTGAATGAAAGGAGATTACGCTTAACGAGTTTCGCGTTCTTTATAAACTGTGAACTCATGTCTTCGAACTTATTCTGTAGCTTTCCATTGCGTATGCCTCGTAATTTTTAATTTATTTTGGGATAAAGTTGGAAATACTATTATGATAATCTACATAATGTCGAATAAAACCATTGAAAATTAGCTGAAAAGCTTCAAGTTAAACTGGCTTGAGATAAACCTCGAATTTTATGGCGCAGCGTTTTCTCGAAAACATCATTTTCACCCTTAGTATAAAATTTTAAATTACATGGCAACGAGACATCAAGATTCTTCCTAAATAATAAAACTTCTGGAGTAGAGCTAACTAATCTACATGTGTAGTTCTCAGCATATCACAAATGGATTCATTTGCATCTTGAAGAGTTTAAGGGAAATCTATTATTACTCACTCAACTTTGAAATCAAGTCATATCATACTGAAACGTTAACCTGGTTTGTCATCCTGGTTGTGAACTTCTTTTCGAAAATTAACATCATCCAGTTTTATCACATATTTACACATTTTAGTTTTAAATCTGACTATAATCTTTAACTCATTTCAGTCAACACTCAAAATGCAGCTACCTTCAACTTCTGGTTTGATGGCATCAAAGCCAGAGGCTGACTTTCACAAGTACAATGAAGTTAATCCATGTGTAGTGTTCTTTGTAGAAACAAATCAACTACCGTGCGAGGTTACTAGGTGCGTTGCATCCGTAATGTTTACCAGAGATATATCAGAATCCAACGAAATCCCAGAACAGCTAACCATAAACGAGGAGAACCAACGCATCGACAAAAATTAAAGAAAAATTTCCACAATTTGAGTCAGGACATGGTTTTGTCACAAAAATGTTTTTACGAATAGGAAAGCCATGGGGAACTTTTAAAATAGGCTTCTTCAGAAAAATTTCTTATCTCCGGCTTCCACGACGAGTAAACTGCTACCTTGATTCCTTGCAAAATAACATGTTGATAACCTAGTTTAGTCTTCTAATCGAATTGTAAGGATCATCAGGATTCACAGCAACCTGATTTGTTTCGTAAAAGAAATAATTCAGAGCACTCAAGATAAAACTACGGATCATCTGTTTATTTTAGTTTAATCTTCGAACTGACCTCACATGCGCCAGAACCCTACCAAGATTTACACTACCCAGAATATCTGCCTCACATATTTGAAGAACGTAGAACCCTGAATAAGTGTGATACTAAAGCACTAGAAGACGTCATTCCATAATGTTGGGAGCTCCATTCCAACTTCCAGCAGCACTACGATTATTTCTAAAAACTCATTCGCCATTAGGCGTTAACTCTAACCATAGTCGATGGATATAGCTGTCTGTTATACGTGGTAGATTAGTTCATAGATCAGTCTTGGTCTTATTAGTGTTGAAGGTGAATCTGAAGCTCTTGAAATAATATGGATCAAGGTTCAGATAAGTTATGTTCATGTTAGTCTCAAATGCAATAATTAAAATTCTTCAATGATAGTTAGCAAGATATACTTATTACTGTTACTAAAACGACCACCACCTGGTGATACGAAGGATTAAAACTGACTTGCTCCCCATGTAACTCCACGAATTTCAAGAGTAGTCCTTGCCACTGTGTTACTACTTATATTTTGTCAAGCATTAGAATGGCTTGTAGTGTATGCAAGCCACGGAAGTCAGTCATTTTTGGTATCTATGACTTCTTTTAAATAGACTTGTATATATATATATATATATATATATATATATA